ACGTACAAGTAGGTATAGCCCAGCCAGTGCACGGCGTCTTCCCTGCTTCTTACAGATCCTGATACACACAAGCAAACACCAGCAAGAAATACCCATCTTTCAAACGTTATAGATGACAGCCATTCAGTGTCGCGTCCCCAGCCTGCTGCTGCGTCCCCTTCGCAAACTTGAATTTACTAGACAGCCAGCGAACATCGCTTCCCTCCCCGCCCCCGTGACAAATAGGAACAGTAGTCAAAATCAACGAGCAGACATTCGTTCTGTTCGTCATAGTGTGCATAAGCGTGTCCCCATAGCTGACCAAGTACGATTTCTGCGTTGAGCATATCGGGCAGGCACTGGATCATCTGCGACTCGATGGGCAACTGTTGGTTGTTCAAAGAAAGGTAGAACTGCAGTTCACTATGCTGTGTAATCAGGATGGCATGGCCGCCAGTGTCGTATTGGGGTCGCCCTGCTCTCCCCATCATCTGTAGAATATCCATCGGCGACAACTCCGACCATGCTCCCTTTTCCGGAAGATACACTTGCGTCCCTGTATCACAGATGCAACCGCATCAGAGTTGCGCGAGGTGTAAGTGGAAGTGTGCGTTGAGGAACAGCCGCTCCTACAATGCCTCATTACGACAAAATTGCAAGAACTTTATTTATTGCGCATCCATCAAAACGAGCATATCTAAGGATTCATGTGCGCGTTCATTCAAAAACATTTTCGCGTCAACGCCAAGTGTTGCGATGACGTATGCAGAACAGATATCCAAAATTTCGTCTGCTTCCTCCGCGCTGTCATGTGTGCTCGGAGTTCATCGCTGTTTCCACACAAAAGAACACTGACCTTTGATGATGACGGTGTGCGCCGGTAGGTTAACACCCCAAGCCAGAGTGGCGGTGGAAACGAGCACCTGAATGTGCCTATCTGCAAACAGATCTTCTACGAGCTTCCTGTCTGTTCTGGGGAGCCCTGCGTGGTGAACTGCAAAGCCGTATGGCAACAAGTCTTTCAAGTCTTGTGTCTTAACTGCCTCCGCCTCAGCCTGCAAAATTTCCCGACTAGCTGAGAAGTTTTGCAGGAAACGGGGCAGCGTATCTTTCTGCATTGCTGCGTCACAAATGAACTTAGCGGTCTTCACCGTTTCCTTTCGGCTGTGTACAAAGATCAGCACTTGGTTCTTTCCAGCGCACTCCAAGACCTGCACGTGCAAGCAACAGCCCCATAAAGGAAGAAATGCACTGAAAGGGTGTAAAAAGTAAGAATGGATTTGCATAGACGCAACAGCAGCGACAAAAAGAGCATATTCAACTCCATGCCACTCGTCCATTCAAACACTCCTCGATTCATACGCACCACAGAGCGCACTCTGTGCACCGCCTCTCGTTGGATCGCATCCCTTCCAAAGCGAACGTGAAATACTAGCGAGTGCCCTACCTTCTCGTAAGTGACGTCATTCATTGTGTTGTATCTCCTGATGGCTTTCTTGTCTTTGATTCCCACATACGTCTGTTGGAGCGGCACAGGACGGTAATGATTACCGAAAACGAAGAGCCCTCTTTCCGGCCTAACCCNTACGTCTGTTGGAGCGGCACAGGACGGTAATGATTACCGAAAACGAAGAGCCCTCTTTCCGGCCTAACCCTCAGGAAGACCGCAACGTCTTCGTAGTTGGGCAGCGTCGCGGAAAGCCCCACTAATCTGATGTGCTCTTGTGACATTTCAATCTGACGGATGGTGCGTGCAACTATAGCCTCCAGCACGGGTCCTCTCGTGTCATGAAGCAAGTGAATTTCGTCGATGATCACAAGACGGACAAGTTGGGTGTAAGCCCTCTCCCCAGCTTTTCTGGTGACGATATCCCACTTTTCAGGTGTCGTGACAATGACTTGTGTCTCTTCAATCTTTTCTCTTGTCAGATTCGCATCTCCGGTAAGCTCCCGGACTGCAATTCCAAACGGCTGCAGCCGCTGCGAGAACGCCTGAACTTGCTCTGCCACCAGCGCCTTCATGGGGGATATGTATATTATTTTGAATCCCTTCAGATCAATGGCTCCTGTGGTACTACTTCTGTACTGCCCGATCACGTTCAGCATGGCCAGCATGGCCACGTTCGTCTTTCCTGCTCCGGTGGGAGCGCAAAGCAGCATATTCTCTTCGTACGCATTGAAGGCAACATCGTACACTTTTGTCTGTAGGATGTTCAGCCGTTCAATTCCTACGCCAGTGAAGGCCGGCTGGCTCCACTCTGGCATCGTAGATATTTCCCGCAAACCCTCTGACTTTTCAACCGGCCGCTTCAAAGCCGGGACCACCACTTCGTCGTAGCTCTGAAAAATT